GTTCGAAAAAAAAAAAAAAAAAAAAAAAAAAACTCCACCTAAATCTGAAGGAAGATCCTCGTGTGAAGAGCATAGGCTTGGGTTTGGGTTTAGGTTCCTCAAAGAGGCGGAAGAAGGCATGATATTCCACACAGATCTTCCAGAAGACTTTACAGCAATCCCTGCTGGCCATCAAAAACTCCAGCGTGTCCTGATAGGAGCTCTGAAAAAAAAACATTGAGAAATAATTCACAACTCTGAAGCAGTTTGTGTTCTCCAAGTATGACGAAACATCATACATTTAGATCTGGCCTTAGCTTGATGAGGAAACGTTTTCGCTTGAAGCTCAACTTGCGTATTTTGGACCAGTTGAAGGCGTTGATCCTCGTGTGTGTCTAAGGTGGTGAAAAATTAAACGCCTTTTAAAAACTTTTTTATTTTTGACAAAGTGAGAATAACTAAGAAACACAACCAGCAAATTGATGTTCACATTAATGTCTGTGTGAAGCTACCTGGAAGACCAAAACGCCGGTGTGCGCCACAGCCAGATTTAACTTCGAACCTTCCCGATCCTTGGCAGGATGCAGCCGAATCCCGTAAAAATCCAGCTTGCGAGCAACCTCCAATAACTGAAAATCTGACTCTGCTGGTGACTGACCTCTACAACACACACATACATGTAAATATTTACAGCTGCTAACATTTCGTCTGTATTTCTAAGGAGGGTGATACCTGTCAAGCTCATTCAAAAACATAATACTTCAGTCACAAAGGTATTGAAAAACACTGTAGAAGAAAATGCAAAAAGGAAACAGGCAGGTGACCAGAATCAGATAATTTAGAACTGCATCAATAAGACCAGTCTGGTTGCTGTAATACCAATAACGTTTTTTTTTTTTTTTTTTTTTTTTTAAATAAATAACTTTTTCAAGTAATACTCCTTCTACATTGTTTTATCGAATAAAAAACTAAATCATTGAAACTTTTCCGATAAGGAAAAAATGTCTTAGTTAAATAAAAATAATTTTAAATCCAACTCTATCAGGGGTGTGACTAACGTTAGGCTTAAAAGTGTGTGTACATTACACTATACGTACAGGTCATACAAGTTCCTAGTGTTGAGTTTTTGAAGCACAAATTGTGGCTGGTGGAATGAGCAGCAAACCTTAACTAACTTTCTTAATTCTCATTCGTAGATAAGCCTTCCTGTTTTCTGTGTGCCACTTAACAAGGGATTCAACTCAACATGGCACCTGGCCAGAGGAGCCACAGATATCGTTATCAGCTGTGGTAAAAACCGGCTCTCAGAAGCTGCAGCTTCAGAGAGCAGTGAAGCTTGTCTGAAGCTGCAGCGGCAGACCGCTGAGTGCTCATGGCCCACTGTGACGTAGAGCCACTGAGGTGTTGGCAAAGCTTCTTCTTAAATAAGTTATGAGAAATACTTGATGGAGTGGCTGGATGGTGTGAGGAGATCTGGAAGGGTTCCAGTAATGTACTCCCAACGGCTTTAAACTAGATAGAATGAAAAAGTAGTCCAACAAAAAAAAAAAAAAGCCAAGTTCAGATTCACTTCTCTCAAACTTCTGCATCAGTCATCTCTAAATAGAGTAAAAAACTGGGTTTCATCCCACTAACCCAACTAAAGACAGCTGTCTGTTTGCATGTGTGTGCGTGTGTGTGTGTGTCACTTGGTGATCTAAAAGAAGCTTATAATCTCCTTTTGCTTCATGTTTTACTTCATCAGGGAAAGAGAAGCTGGTCAAAGTTGTGGAGAGGAAAACGTGATAAAATCTTCTGCAGTTTAAAGACTGCCAAATCTGCAATGAGCTGGTATACATCAAAGTATATCCATGCATTAGAGTCAAAACTTGAAAATCATCCACATATGCTCTCCGTGAAATCTGACTGCACTTGAGCTGTTTTGCACAGAAGAGGGCCAACAAAGTCTCTAAATGTGCAAATCTGGAAGACACAAAGCCCAAAAGACTTACATTAAGCTGTAAAACAAGTTATAAAAACCTGGCCAATGTAAGATTATATACTGTATGTTAAAGTGCTGTGTGTAGCACTCTGAGAAATAACCCATTCATTCAGTGGCTGCTTTCCTGAATGTGTCACTCGAGTAATAAAACAGCCCAGTGGGACAATAACAAAGCCTGCAACAACATTTCCTGTTCACAGCTGAGGAGAAAAATGTCTGTTCACCCACTGACCTTGTGTTATTATTTTAACCGTGGTTTAAAGATCACACACTCACATATGCTTTGAGTGAAACTCCATGATTTTGTCGATCAGGGGCATCTGATCTGGAATGTAGTTGTTGTTTAGCAGGTGTGAGCGGCAGTGGCTCTCGTCAAAGTCCCCAATCTCAGCTGAAACCGAAGGGAGAAAAAAGAAAAAAGAAAAAAAGGACAAAAAATAAAGAATTCAGCTTTAGAGTTGACGCCGCAAGGGGAGAAACGCGCAAACGCGCTTCGATCGCAACAGGCTAAAGAAAGAGGTCCAGATATGACCGGCAAATGGAAATGAGTCGTTGCTCTGCTGCAGCTCTGCAAGATTACATTCAGACATTAGACTGAGGGGTCTCCATGGCAACACAAAGTTAATCAATTTGAAATGCTGCGCCGTGTGCAGCATGACAATGTTTGCTGATAAGCTGAAGATGAAAAGAGCAACAGTGTATCTATAAAAGACAGTTGTCAGATCTATCACTGCTTTGGTGGCTTGAGCCGAGCGCATGAAACTTGGCCCTGCGAGCCTCACACTGGATGATGTGGGAGACCATCAGAGCCGCGCTGGTGTCGTTGCACGTCATGCGTCCACTGGAGAGATCCTGCTTGATCTGGAGGGCAAACAGGTACCTAGGCACAAAACACACACAAAAAAAATCACTTTAACAAGTCTGCCGATGTGATTGAGGGTAAATATGAACACAAGATTGAATTTGGCACTTTAGGAATTTATCAGTAGAAAAAAAAAAAAAAAAGAAAAACTGTTCAAAGAGACAAAGTGTTTTCTCAGGTCACATGGATCATAGAGTTGCACTCCCACTCGTTTGTTGCTTTGTATTATAGGCAAAGAAAAAAAAAAGTACTAAAACTTTTTCATTGTTACAAAAACATACAAAGGTGAATTTAGTTTGTGCTGTCTAAGTAAATTAAGTTGTTTGTTGGGTTGTAGTTTTGAATTGATGCACGAATGCAAAAGTAATAAAACTAAAAACAACCATAGACTATATAGTACCGGTAATCAATAAATAAAAAAAACAAAAATCACCAAATACTGGCTTAACGTATACAACTGTCTCCTCCATGTCTTGTAATGGGATTACAATTGAACTAATAATCAAAAATATCTCGTATGAACTGTATTGGGTGCATTTAAACCCTTTGTTGCCAGAGTTTGTCTATCACTTCTTAAAATAAGATTTAAAAAAAATAAAAATTAACAGTGTTTTTGCCATCATGTAGATGCAAAATTAAGTACATTTGACACCTGAAAAAAGCATATATAACAAATATTTTTAGAGATATAATGCAAATAAACAATATCAGGCATAGTAACAAAATTTACAGTGTGTTTTATTGATGCTGATGTTGTTAAACAGGGCTCTGAAACTGAACTGCAACAAGTTTCTGCACAATCAATTCTGGTCCATTATCACAGCATTGTAAAGGCAACTAGATATTTTAAACTGACAACTGTATTTTGCTCAAAATCTGTTTGCTATGTAAAAAACTAAAACTTTTCTTTACTGGTCAGTCTTCCTTTGATCTACTGTGGTCATGAGGCATGACTTATGACAGAAAAAAAAATATTCTTCAACACAAACAGCAGGCCCAGAATTTTCTGGAGGGACTAGATTTCAGTTCTGCTAAAGAGCTAAAGTGTGTTGCTGTGGGTATCCTTCCTGCCCAATGTTACGAAAGCGGAAGTCACAAGATTAAAGGATTAATACAGTTCTGTCTAATTTGTTGGTGCAACAAATTAGACAGAACCTTCAAGGGCTTTCAAGATTATTGACTGGGAAGGGGAACCACAGTTTCAGATAATGTCTTAAAGTAGCAATGTTTTGGAACAAACATCAGCAAAAGCCTCATTGTTACCATTTCTGTCAGGAAATAAAAAGCAGGCCAGCAACCAAGGTAGTTAAAACTTGACAAACTAATCAGCATGTTCACCACTGATCTTTTCAGAATGGATTTAATCTCAATCAGATCCTAAATATTGAGATCTTATTGAAGGAGAAAAGGAGGCAATATTCATGGAAATGAGCAGGTTTACACTAGAATCACAGTGAACTCCTGCCTAGTCGCTGTACAGAATTCGCCTAGTTACAAATTTTTCTGAAACTTCACTCCAAATTATTTACTGAAAATTAGACTATTTGTGAAGTTTTTTGTAGAGCATGACTAAAATATCAGAAATAAAATTAAGTTTGGAAAGCTAAAATATCTAGGCACAATGCTACTTGACATGCTATTGGCAAGAGTTCGCAAAAGAACTAATAATAGTACAACTAAAATAGGCCATTACAAGCTTTTTTAGTGGGGGTCTCACGTATTTGCAGATTTTAGCTGTTCTTTCGACATGTTGAAATATGTTGTTTTAATATTACAAAGGGTTGAAACAATTTTTGAGTTAAGATTATTGAACTGCAATACTCAGTTAACTCTGAAACAGAATAACAAATCAAGCAACAAAAAAAGTCTAAGATTAAAACCACTGAATGTGTATGTTTGAAACAAACTAGACACCAAATGCTCCAAATAATAGTAACATATCATATATTAATGAAAAAATAGTAAGTAGAAACAGCTTTCTAATATCTTTCTCATACGAACAATCAAGCGATTGTCTAAGCTTTCATCAGTTGAATGTCAGTTTTTTTCTCTGTGCTCTCCTAAAAACATGCAGCACATCCGTATCTACAGAACACAAACCAGAAAATCATTAGCTCTACATCGCTAATCTCCAGAGGGCTAAACCAGCGAGATGGCAGCCATGACATTTGAATCCTATAACCAGAAGGGGGAATGAGTCATCATGAAGTCAGGGCCCATGTTTCATGTATGCCTCAGTTACAGCAGAGGCCTTTCACACTGACATGTATACAAACGTACGTCTCTGTGCCAAGAAGAAGACAAACGCATCTCCTAGATAACGGGAGTAAAGAGGATCCGCTCACCTCGTCAGCTCCTCCAGCAGCTGCGCATGGTCAGGGGGGAAAAACTTCACACTGAACCTCAGGGTTGTGTTTTTCGGTCCTGCGCGGAACAGGTTCATTAATAAAAGAACATTTGCATTTTAAAAGGAGATTATGCAGAGCAGTTACTCTCTTACAAGCTCCAGGAAGGACAAGGCTAAACAGCATACTGAAACACTTACGTCGAAGCTGCTTAATAATTGGTTTGATGTGGTCCAACCAAACCTGTGAAAGAACAGCAGAGGCTTGTTCAAGTACGAGTTGTTGAACAAATAATGTGAGCAATTTTGAGATGAGGCTTTATTTATTTACCATCATGCTTTTGTGGTTTTGAAACTCCAGGCCAAAGTAGTCGCCTTCAATCAGATTCATGTGGGAGCACACCAGGTCAAATAGCACCTTGCCCGACGCTTTTTGCTGTGGACAAAATCATGAAGGACAACACTAAACACAAAGCAGAAAAGGCAAGCATTTTTTTTCCCACTTTCAGTATTCTGCCTAGACACATTTAATGCATTTTATAAGCTTAAATACATCATATTGTTTCTTGACGACAAAATGAATCAATATGCCTTGATGCTAAACAGTCACATAGTTTTGTTGGAGAACATTAGCAAACAGACAGCATCAGGAAGACCAAGAAACTACAGAAGATAAGGGACAAACATTTGAAAAAGCTACAACAATTATTGTGTTATGAAACAATATTCCAAGCTGTGCTTAATTCAATATTTGAAACAAAACCCCTTACAAAACAAAAACACATCCACTAAGATATGGTTGTACCGCTAAGCTGACGAGGCAAGCAAGGACAGCAATGAGCCAGCAGCCAAAGGGCCAATGGTAAATCTGGAGAAGCTGCAGAGATTCACAGCACAGGAGACTATTAGGTGTGCACTCTACAAATGTAGCCTTTATGGAGGAATGACAAGGAAAAATAACTTTTTGATTTTTCTAATAACTCCATAAGAAGCCCTGTTTGCACTTCAACATAATCCATGTAAGGTATACACACATAGTAAGGCTCTCAGATCAAATGAAAACAAAACTGAACAAGTTGGTGTACTTGGAAAATGTGGTGGAAGGATTGCACTATGTATCCCCATTCCCATTTAGTGGGTTTCCACAGAAAGAACTCTTGTTCTACGATTGGTTCAGCTCATATGCCTCTGAATGCTGATTTTTTTTTGTTTTTTTTTTTTGCCCCCCATAAGAACCAACTGCCGTTTCCATATATTTTGGGAACCAAACACGCATAATCAACAGGTGGCGTCAGACAACTCGGAAGAACAGCAGAAGAAGAACGTAATAGCAAAACAGACCTTGATGCACTGGGTGTATTACTTCCTTGTTTACAGAGGTTCCTTTATGTGCAGCAAAAGAGAATCCAAGCTGTCCAGCTGATGCGGAAAAGGTTTATTTGTGTTTGCTGCCGTGCTCGTTATTTCTTTGTGTGCAGTTTGACTGGCGCACAATGTGATGTCTCAGGTTTGCACTGAAATACCAGGTATTCCACAATGCCCAACTAGAACCAAACTAGACACTGGGGAATCTCGTTCTTGAGCAAACATGTGACACTGGTTCAAAATCATGCTCAAGAACTGGAATGGGCTCCAAACTGCATCGATGGAAAAGCCCTGTGAAACATGGTGGATGCAGTATTATGTTGTGGGCATGCTTCTCTTCAGGAAGGGGATGGGAAACTGGTCAGAATGATAGTAGGCTAGATGAAGGTTGCTAAAGACTTGAGACTGGGATTGAAGCTCATCTTCTAGCAAAAGTCCAGACATGATGGAATGATTTATATTAAATCAGAATAATGTGTTAAACTGGCCTAGTAAAAGCTCAGATTTAAATCCAACACAGAACTTGTGGTGAGACTTAATGAGTCTGACTTATTTTTTTTATTATTATTATTTTTTTTTGAATGGGCAGAAATAGTACAGTCTAAAAAGGGTGAAGCTGGTAGAGACATGCTGCAAAAGAGCTGCAGAATAAACTGCATTGACAGATGGTTTTCAATGCAGTTGCGTTGAAGAAAAATGCCCAATAAACTTTTCAGAACCATCTACCATTTCACTACCTTGTGCATAATCTTGTCTATCCTTGTTCTACTGCATAAAATCCTTAAAAAAAAACTTTAAAAATCCTCAAAATATTTGTGGCTGTAACACACCATTTTAGAAACACAAAATGGGTGTGAAATACTTACAATGCCCTATTAGTTGATCATTATATACCAATTTTCTGTTAATAATGTGTCACTTTCTGTGTCACAAATGTCTCTTTTGGCCTTCCTGCTTCCATGCTAGTGTTCAAAGAGCCTGCCACGAATAAGTTTCCATCATGCATGTTGCAGCCAAAGGGGCTGGGTTGAACCTCGTCTTTGATCTGGATTTTCAGTGTCGCTTGCTGTTGCTGACGGCCCAGCAGCCTTTGAGGTGGAAATCATATCAGGGTGGGATAAAAAGTTCCCCTGACCACCTCAGTCTTCCCTCAAACACCACACGAACTTAACTGCACACTTTTGGGCACTGCGAGAAACACACAAACCTCAAAAATGTACCTCAATCAAACTGAGAAACATTCCCACATGGGGTCACATTGGTGTCAGGGATTTTTCCCAACAGATTTCTGTTACAGACACTCAGACATGGCTTGACTCACAGGCACACACACAACAGGAACACGTCTGCCTGGCTGCTTCCTCGTGACTGGTCTGCACCAGCGCACAGCATATCTCAGCTACAGAATGTGAGTGTTTGTAGTAGGAGCCCCTCCTGGCTTGATACCGATTCAGAGCGCTGCCTTAATACGTTTCAAGAAAGGCGCTCTTACATGAAAGGACAGGGACATGCTGAGGTGCATGCTAGGACACGAATGTCTCTGGTGCAGCTAAAGGGAGTTGTCGAATTTTAAATTTAAATGACGCTGCCTGTGTTCCTCCAAATGCGTAAAGAATAAAAACTTAAGCTCTGTCAGCTTAGTCAAAGTGATTACACATCCTCATGTAAATGGAAAACCTTCCCCCAAACGAGACAATCTACCACTTTTTCCCAGCTTGCACAGGGAGTTTTCTACTACTGAGAGCCAGCTGTTTGCATATGGTGACAGAACCAGTGAGGGTGATGGTAGAGAAAGAGGTCACCAGTCCAAACATACATATATACACGCATTATTTAATGTCCTGAGAGAATGCCGTGTGTAAAAGGCAAAACATAGCCAGAATGAATTCAATGTTTCTTTCATTCATTGCAGTTAAACCCAGCATAGAAAAGCCATCAGCCTCTCTTTGAGGCTCTTGTGCCCAGCCATGTAATTGTGCCATTGTTGATAAAGAGGCCACACTCTGTGCAGAGACAGGTTGGGCAGAGGCTGATTAAAGCTGACCAGCACTTGATTAAATGCAGCTTTTTGCATGCAGGAGTCATGTCACCGGAAAGGACAACACAAAAACATTGTTAATGACGCACCAGTCCCTAAGAGTGATGTGTGCGTTGTTGCTTATCCAGCAAGAATAAACACACCGTCAATACATCTTAAGGGGGCGGTGTAACATATTTTCCAGCTACATAGTGCCGTTTTATGGCACAATTCAGCAACTCTGTTACCTTCAGTTGTCATGAAGCTGCTGTATAAATCAAACATAACTTAAAAGAGATTTGACTTTGCTTTTCAATTGCCTTTAAATTGGACTCCATCTCTTTAAGAAGCTCCTGCTCTTTCCGACACTCACTCTTCGGCACATCTTCACAACAATGCTGCTCCATGATGCTGTTTACAACCGTACTTATGAGCGCTGAAAAGTAGTTCATGTCTTAAGCTCAGCAGCTGCGTTGTTCCACCAGGTGTTGCTAATTGCTACTATTCTCAAGGAGCTAAGTTGGGAAGGCCCACGCACACAGATAGAGCACATGTGTGCAAAGCTAAAGTTGAAGGAATTGACACGCTTGGGAACGCCCTCTTTAGAGCGTTGCTTAGACAGAGGCCAACAAAAGGAATTGGAAACTATTGTTCGGTATCATTTTGCTTTGTTAGCCCGTAAGGATAGCATGAAAAATGGACCAGCGCTGCATTTTAGTCTTAATAAATGGAATACATAAATTCAACTCAGTGACTCTTCTTCAGCCTCATACATCAAGGACCTAAATGGAGAAAGAATAATTCTCCACAAAGCACGAGAATCATTATCCACAAATGAGAAAATAAGCATTTTCAACCTAGCAAAATTTGTCCAAGAACACAAAATCAAATTATATAGATTCATTACACATAGAGTGAAATATTTCAAATCTTTATTTCTTGTAATCTTAATGATTATGGCTCATAGACGAGACCAAAATTCCGTGTCTCAGAATTATAAGATTACATTAGATCAATAAAAAAAGACATCCTAAACAAAAATATCAGGTTTCTGAAACATTTTCATTTCTATGCACAAAATACTTGGTGGTAGCGCCTTTTCCAGGATTCACTGCATTGATGCGTTGTGGCATGGAGGTGATCAGCCCATGGTTCTTCTGGAGTAATGGAAGTCCAAACTGCTTTAACAGCATCCTTCAGGTTATCTGCATTAATGGGTCTGACGTATTTCATCTTCCTCTTAATAATACTCCATAGATTCTCTATGGGACTCTGGAAAGGCCAGGCTGCTGACCAATTAACACAACAACATAATGGTCACTGAAGCAACTTTGGTACCTTTTGCTTTGTGGGCAGGTGACAAATCCTGCTGGAATATGAAATCAGCATCCCCGTACACATCATCAGCAGAGGGAAAACATGAAGTGCTCTATAATTTTACCCATGGTGTCAATAAATGTCCTCTGGGCATCTGTCAAGTCAGCAGCCTTCCCCATGATTATGTAGCCTCCTGACCTAGAATATGACCATTTAGATGCTCAGGAAACCTCTGCAGGCTTTTGAGTTACTTTGCTGATTAGGGTGTGACACCATGGGTTTCCAATATTTAACTTTTTCACAGTATTCTGAATTTTGGGTATTTATTGTCTATAAGTCATAATCATCAAAGATAGAAAAAAAGGCTTGACATATTTCACTATGTGCATTGAATCTATGTATGAGTTTCACTTTCTGAAATTAGTGACAAAAATATTGAACTTTCTCACAACATTCATATTTTTCAGATGCACCTGTATATATTTGCATGTAAACTACAAGGGATTTCAGATGTAACATCTGCAAAGGGTTAATGTCTTCCAGCTTTTATTCTACACCAGTTTGGCAATAAATGATTAGATGGTTTTTAACGATAATTTGCTCAAATTTCTTTTTATGATAAGGTTTTATAGTAGTTTAATTACTAAGCATGGCTTCAGTTTTACTTTGGTTCATTTAGTACTTAACCTTCAGTGTGAAAATTTATTTTTCACTCCTCTGCTTTGGTATTTCCACAT